CCAGAGGCAAGCAATTTCTAAAGTGGATGCCACTCCTGCTTCCAACCTTGTTTTTATCAGGGAGCTCCACCAAACACTGCCTACCATGGGTAACCATTATCACATCTGACACATCAATATCAAATAGCTTGCCTCCAGAAACTCCGTGAGCTTGGAGAAACACTGAAAGTTATACAAGTGTTCAGGTCTTTCAGTCATAGGGTCTCTATGAGTTGTCTACAACTCGAGGGCACTTAACAACAATGTAACAGGATGAAGTCATATTTGGCTTTGCGCCATCTTTATGATTATTGATATGTGTGCCAACCTCAGTGCCAAGATGTTTTTATGCACAGTTATCACTAAATCAACACTTAATTATCCTCCTTTTGAAGGTTAAAAACTGAAGCTCAGATAAACTGAGTAACTTCCCCTTGCTAATAAGAGCAGTGCCAGAACTTGAGCCCAGACCTGCTCACTGCAAAGCCCAGAATTTAAGCTCCCACTAAAAACCCTTCAATTCATGAAGACTCCTTGGCTTTTCCCAATCCACAGTCAGCCTGGAGATGACCAGTCCCTACAGGGTGAGAGGTCTCCACACTGGACGACCTTCCCTTCTGCGGTTCCTTCCCTTCCTTCACCCACATATAAAAGAGGCTAATTTTTTTCTTTTTATAATTTAGAGCTTCTGAAAAAGATTTTTTTACAAACCCTTCTTTTTTGTTTTATTATTATTTCATTGATATTTTAAGGAGAGTTCACAGAAAACTTGGATTTCCATTCATTCATTCATTCATTCATTGTTGCACATTTTCCTCCCTACCCACCCCAACTTTGCTTTTCTCTTATGACAGAGTGTTATGGTTATCACAAGAGTCCAGAATGAAGGTTGCCTAGTTGAGTGTACTCGGGGTGGGGCGGGATGGGGATGGGGGGGTGGGGCTTGTATACCAATGAAGGAGTTTCTCTTTTACTTTTCAAAGAGAAGAGCAAACTGGGGGGTAGGGGTGGGCAGGGAGAAAAGTGCAACAATGAATGAATGGAAATCCAAAATCTCTGTAAATGTTCATTCAAATTAATAAAAATTAAAAAAGGATTATTTCATTATTGCAAACTTTCCTCCCTTCCTACTCCTCCTACCCCCCCCCCCCCCCCCCCCCCCCCGCCTCCAGTCCACTTTGCTATGCACCTCTTATTCTGGACTGTTCTCATGCAAATAATACTTAATCATATATTTCTTTTAGACAGTTCTTTCCCTTATCTGTTTCAATAGTGTTCATTATTTATCCTCTCTTTTCTCAGTTTCCCCCCAACTCCCATGTCCTGTTTTATAACAGTGGCACCATGCAATATTTGTCCTTTTGTGACTGAGATGTATCACTCAGCATAGTGTCCTCCAGCGTCACCTATTTTGTATAATATTTTATGAGTTCCTTGTTTTTCTGCAAAGTGGGACACAGAAAACATCAAGACAGAATGTACACTGTCTCCAAATGCTTCAACCTTGTAAGGCAAAATACAAAGGAAAAAGATGCTGAAAGGTGGCACCCAAGAAAAAGGAAAATGTTCTTTGTTCAATATCTTTCCGCCACAGACCTCTAAAGCCTTTCCTGGGTTTGAAAGTAAATCTAAAACTTACACCCTGCCTTGCTATATGCAAAGCAACACTTTCCTGTCTTTTTCCTGACCTGTGCTAACTTTCCAAATCTGCTATCTCATTCATTGTTCTTTTATAGAGCTTTTCAAGTCTCATGTCTCTTCAATAGCTCTTCGAGACTCTCTGATTCTAGCTAGCACAGCACTGATGCTAAACATACACTTCCTGGAGCCTGTGGCTCACAGCCCAGTGGCTTCATCCTGAAATGACACTAATCAGTTTCTGGTGTTTCTTTAAAAACTCAAAATAAAACACCCGATTGCTGGTGGTCCACTAGGACCCTTTGATCTCTTCCCATAAATAGGTGGCTATTCAAGATTTGAATTCCCCCCCCCTCCAATTGTTACAAGAAATGTATTTGACAAGTGAAAAGGAAACCGTTGAGGAAGCAGGAGGGGTGGCAGATGGTGGGCAGTAGATCTGCCTAGATGGCTCCGTGGTGGGTACCCTCATCCCTCTTACCTAAGAGGGTAGACTTCTGCCACAGTCGGGGTTGAACACCCCATGAAGAAGAGGGGGGTAGAGAGCATAATGGAGATGGTGATGATGATCACGGCCACTCGGGGGATGGCTTGCAAGGACAAAACAAAACGTTTCATGAGGATTCCTCCGAAGAGCATGCCCAAGGCTGCAGCGGGAAGGTTCACAGCACCTGCGGGTGGAGAAAGAAGAAGGGTGTGAGTGCGCATGCGGGCCACAGACAGCGTGCTGTGCCACGGAGGGGGCCGTCGCTTCAAGAAGCAGCACTGGATATGTTCAACAGGAGAAGTGTTAACCAGTGCCATTACTTCTAACTCATAACAGCTCTTACTCACGCATTACCATCACGTCAGTTCTGACTCGCAGCTGACCCTCTAGTAGGTTTACTGAGGCTATAAATTTCACAGGAGGAGCTTGCTCCTCTTTCTTCCATGGATCCGGGTGGAAGCGAACTTTCTTTGCATAAGTCGAACAACCCGTTACTGACTAGGGCACCGGAGATTCCTGTAACAGTTACACTTACGGAGTTCATCCTGTTTGCCAGGCCCTGTTGTACGTTCCCATGACGGAACTCTATTGACACAGGGAATTGGCCTGTATGTGTGAAGAATCCATAAAGAAGGAACAGGGCCAGAGGGCAATGAGCTGAACGCATGACTATGGAATACCACCCACCTGGCCTGATCATTAAGCACCACTCACTATTAAGCACCTGGCCCTCTTCCTACATCCTCATGAGGTTGGCAAGGCGAGGATGATGGAGCCCAGAGCATCAGGTCAGGGGCTGCAGGCCAGGTGGGAGGTCGGGAGGACAAGGTGGCCACCTTGGGCCTCATGCCCTGACTACCCAGCACTGCCCAGGTGGGCTTTCTTCTAGGTGGCTGGCAGAAGGCTGTTGGTCCAAGGGAGCCTGGGAATCTGGTCTCCGGGCCCAGTCCCTGCAGAAAGGAGGTCCCTGAGCCAGTGGAGAGAGTGAAGGCTCCTCACTGGAGGGACAGAAAACATAAACAGGGAAACTTGCTCCCTTTCAGAGACACCATTCCTGGGACCATCCAGTTCAGACCTTTGTTCCCTCACCACAGTATGAAGGGAGAAGCCAGTCTGTGGTCCCGAGGCCTAACTCAGGTGCCCGATGATGAGGCCCAGGCTCCAGGACTGAGAAGTGCGGTTCACGCTGGGGAGGGGGCAGAAATTCAGGCTGAACCCAGCCAGGACTGTGTGGCTGGGCTTTGGACAGGCGCCCCCACGGCACTGGATGCCAGGGGTGAAGCAGAGGCTGAAGGCCCCGGAAGCAACACTCTTGTTTTGCAGATCATGTGGCCCTAAACCAAGCCAACAGATAATATTTCTCCCATTTTGTAAAAATAATCCTCCTGATGTACGTTGTTAGCAAACGCACACGGAGACTATGGAAGAGTCTATGCTCAAGCCTTGACCGAAGATGTTTCTAAGGGAGGGTTGAAGGAAAATTTAGTTCCTGGTGTTTATGCTTTCAATCATTTACATGTGTTAAGTAAATCTGCATTTTTAGAAGCCAAAAGGGAAAAGTTTATCTTAAAACAAATGATGCCTTTGGAGAAGATTAGCATACACTGTCTTAGTTAGAGTACTGGGACATGCTGTACCACCAAGGGTCCAGTCTCCACCTTGTGGAGAATCCCAGTCATGCCAGAGAAGAACTTCAGAATGTCTTCAATGGCTTTTGGTTTGTTGTTGTTTTGTTTGTTTGTTTGTTTGTTTTAAATAGGTCCCTAGCACTTTTCTTCTGAGGCACCTCTGCGTAGATTTGAGCCTTTAAATGTTGGCTTAGCAGCCGGGGGCATTAACTGCTTACGTTTCTACTGGATTCTGAATTGCTGGTGTTTCTCCTGGATTCTGACTGGGACACAGCAAGATCTCAAACAATGTGAATTCAACGAAGGGAGTCTCCTTGAAGAGAAAACTCAAAACTCGTGGCCCTTTAAATTGGGATTCTTAAGCTGCACTGCAATCCCAGGTGTGCCTGGTTCGAATCCACCAGCTGCTCTGCTGGAGAAGGAGGGACAATCTCCTCCTGTACCAGTCAGATCTGATTTGATGGTACAATGCGCAAAAAATAATAAGATAAAAAAGAAAATAAATTGGGATTCTTTAAATCAATGGGGTTCTGAGGCCAAGAAGGAAGGGAGGAGACTCCCTGTCTTTCTCCTGAGGAGCAGCTGGTGGATTTGAACTGCCAGACACAGCCTTTTGGTTGGCAGTGCAGGACTCTATGGGAGGTCACCAAAGTCCCTTTTACCCTGGAGATGTGGATGATGTTTACCATGAAGTCAGAATCAATCCATAGCCGGCCCTCCAGTGGGTTTTCAGAGACTGAAATTGTAAGCAGGGAGATTAACCATCCTTCTCCCACAGAGCAGCTGGTGGATTCAATCCGTGTGCCTTTGGGATTGCAGTGCAGATTCTTACCACTAGGGCAGAAGGCAGGCATTTTTCTCTTGGATCTCCTCCTTGCCCCAAGAACAGTAGGAGATTTGTGGACAAGAGGGAAGGAGGAATTGTAGCTGGTCTTGTGGGTGCAGGACGACGCTGGGGAAACCAGCATCAAATGTAAAGAAGATCTGTGATGAAATATGTTTACGGCATTGAAGTCTATGGGGGAGAGAATAGTGTAAAAGTATTATATTTTAGGGCATTATTTTTATCGTAGGAGTACGCAATGAGGGTTGCAGAGTGGATTATATTTGGGGGTAGGGGGTGGGGTTTGAGGAGGTGCGGGGGGGATTGTGTACTAATGAGGGAGTTTTTCTT